TCTGAACCGCCGAGTCGTTTGGAGGTGTGGAAGCTACCACGCATGTTAAGGTTTTTAGTGTAGTTCGCACCCTAATGATTTGCTGATATTGTATGCAGTTCCACGCGTAATGCTTTTGTTCCAAAACTAATACAATAGGAGCTTAGTTGTTCGTGTCAACGGTGGAACCAATGCAATTGTTCCGCGTATAATCTGTTCTGTTCTAGCGAAATCAAATTCTTCAAGTTGACGTAGGTACTGTTGCAGATAGGAAGGCTAAGATAAACACATTAGTTCTGAAACAAGTGATTATGTGCGCAACTATTACATTGGTTCTGCATGCAATTTCATCGATCTCCTCTAGCCGAGCGTCGCCGCTACGCGGAGGCAATTTATGTTTAATCGCTAAGGTGTTTCCCGCCTCCGCTTTGCTTCGGCGGGATCGTAGCCTTTTTAAACGATTACTATCATAGCCTCCTGCTTATAACTATGCCAACAGGTTAAAGCTTTTCTCTGATTAATTGTACTCTACATTTTATTTACGAATGTTTAGGATAGTCTCGCCTAATGCTATTAACATACTTTTTATTGTTTTTATATTCGCTACTCGATCATTGTGGAGTCTGCAGTCTGGCGTGTTTCATCAGTTCGTTTTATTGCTCGAACAACACTGCACCAAAAGGATATATACTTGCTTGTTTTTGTTTGACGTGTTAGTATTGTTGTTTCAAGACTTATAGCGTTCATGTAGAACTCCCATATAGCTATACTAACGACTATCGATATAGTTAAGTGTATATGTCTCAATCATTCTGCTTCAGATTAAGTGTCCACGTTTCCTGTGGGCTTGAGTGCGTTTACCATTTAGCGATGAACTAATGCACCCCCTCATAATTGTCTAAAACTCGTCGCATCCACTATCACAACTATTTGTAAACAGAACTTATGTTCTAAGAATTTTACAATGTTATTATATTGCGAAAACACTCATGCATTTACCCGTTGAACGCGAGGCTTTTCGTTTGCGGTCATCTCCCTAAACCCCTAGCTCCGTTAACTTGTATGTCGGGGAAGGGTTACGATAGTTAACGTAAATTATTTTTTATCCTGAACATTAGATAGCGACAACTCACCCGACACCTATGATGGTGCAAAAGAACTATCCTGTATCATCCAATTTGACATGGGTAAGCGATACAGGCTAATCCAATATCGTGTATTAAAATACGCAAAGAAGGCCACCACGTGTCAGAGTCGTAAGCATTTTTTTTCTGAAATATAGACTTCAAGGTTTAGCCCACCCAGAAATGGACATATTCTTCAAGATGTCGGCGCTTATCGTGCCGCTCGCAATACTCGATAACCCCTCTCAACTGCGTCGATCAAAGATGCGTCGAACAGAGGATCATCAGCTTCTTCTTCATCCCCGACGTGGACTTCTTCGGTAATGTCAGCCATCTCTCCCTCCGTCTCACTCTCGTCGCCACGTGAAGCACCATCATCGCTTTCACAATCTGACTCCATCGCCTTGTACTCTCTATTGTCATCCAAGTCTTGCACCAGGTTGATATCTATAATTTCAATAACACACACGTTTGAAAAATTAGCCTGTATTACAATCATGTATATACAGGATAACAAACCTGAAGAAATTGCAGCGTTTGCTGACGAATGGCGAGGTTCCGCTTCGTTAGAATCGTCGCCCACGGAACGAAATTGCTCATCCAGATTCCGTGTGGGTTCTTCCGCGCTGTCAAGCTCACACGAATCGTCTACCTCGCCGGAATCGTGCTGGCCCAACTTCTCGTCCACCATTGCATCCAACTCACGATTGCCCACCATCTCACCGGACTCTCTCACGTCCTCCATCGCTACGGACTCACGCGGTGCCGGGTCGCACTGCGAAGTTGACTGTGGGTGACTAGGACTGTGTACACAGCCGATATTGGCATCTACACGAGTAACAACACATCATAGAGATCAGGCTGGCACGCACATCGCCACATTTACACAACTATACGATACTTTCTGTTCTGTCGCCGGTTTTCTGCTCGTCTTCGGATGCGGTCTTCTCGTGCTGCGTTACCATGACTGCTAAAGCGGCAAGTTGTACAATACAATATTCAGCAACCTCTATCCAGTATCAGACAACGTAAGATATGCACATACCTTCTGGACCGTCGGCCGAACTCACGCTGCCCTTGGGTAGGTTCTGATCGGGCCCCGGAGCTTCAGGCAAAGTCACCGCTTCCTGCTTGGCTTTTGCGGCTGTCTCTAAATGCCGCGATCATGTTAGAATTGCTTAATATAATGAAAACAAGCTCTACCTGCTTACCAATATCGAGACGGTCCATATAGCGCTTTAACTCTTCTTCCCCCACGAAAAAGTCGACGCCTCGGGTATCCTTCCTCGTCTTTCTTGGCATCAAATACGTGTGATGGTCGGACAGGCCTACTGCCCTTTTGGACGTCCACCCCTCCTTTTTTAGCTCGACCCAAACCCGACATGTGTATCAAAACCGGCGAATTCTCGAATGAGCGAACGAGTGATGCTGAAGCATTGACCCGTAGGATTTTTATCGAGTGTGGCATACACAGCACTAACACCTTCTAATTTTAAGTTTTGGAAAATGGATAGATGCGGGACAGATTAGGTGAGACATGCAGGCACCCCATACCCTATTTGACGTAAAAATTGTATACACCATACAAAAATCAAGCAAAAAAATCCTTATCGTGTTTGGTCCAGGATAAGGATTTTTTAACGTGTCTGATACAGGCCGTCGCGTTCAAGGGGTTAAGCTTGTCGCGAAATAAGTCAGGGGTTCGAGTCGATACGAATAATGTTCAGTCTTTCGGAAAATAGCGTGATTGGTATCCCTGTCCGTGCTGTGACTAAGGAGTAAAACGCTATAGAGAATATGATCAAGTTACTTCTACATTATGGTATTAGTATCGGGTTTGTTTCTGTTATTATGTCTGGAACTAAATGTCATTACGGCTCAAATAAACTTCTTTATATTAGCAACCGTGTTCTTATCGCAGACCTGTTAGTAGTGCAGGTTACTCGTCAAGCTTATAACATACAAACTGTGTTATTTGGATAATGCTTAAGGTCCTAATTGAAAACAAGAGTTAATTATCGATATCTGTTGAGCTCGTAGCTTACCTAACGTGTCCCTATCGTGCAGTTCAGACTCAAATTAGTGGGGCACCGATACTACAGTCTGGTGGAAAATTATAGACGCACCAAAGATAAGCACTTCAACCAGCTAGGTACTAGCTTTTCGTTCTCAACGAGCGGGCAGCTAATTTTTTAGAACAACTTCTGCTGAGCCAGGAAATATCAAAGCATCGACCAAGTGACGTTATGTGTAATTGACAAAAGTTCATTTGTCATCTGGTGAAAAATTATAGACGCACTCGACTATATTTCAATTTCTTCAAACTGGTTAGCGTATTTTTCAATTTTGATAGTAGAGTTTCCCCTTCATATTCTTCTGGCACCATTTCACGCACTTGTTCTTCGTCAAAAGATGCCAAAAGGCGCGCTTCTCACACCGGAAGAGAAAGGTAAGGTTCTGGCTTACCGAGACTGCAGCCTAAGTAACACAGCGATTGCTGCAAAGATTGGACGCAGCGAGAAGGCCATTCGAATCTTTCTAACGCAATGAGTGAGTAGTAGGCCCTCCTAAAAAGCAATGCAGAAGGATCAAAGTCTTCTATCGGCATTCTCGGCGCATCTTTCGGTTTGCAATTCACAGAATAGATCATCACGAGAGATCGCATTCGATTTGGGGCGCGTTGTCAAGCATTCTACCGTGCTAAGAATGCTCAAGGCGTCCAAGTTCGCGAAGTTTGCTAAGCGAAAACCCGCTCCGGGCATCAAGAAACACCACAAAAAAGGCCGTGAAAGCTCCAGCAATTACGTTAAGATGCTACGTGATAATCCTCTCCCCTACGTTGAAGCACTCCGCACTATCAACCAGGTTTCTCGGCCAATATTCCAGCATTTTAGCGCGTCTATTCACTCTGCTCGCCGTACCAAGGAGTTCCTACAGGATGCCAGTGTCTGTGCGACGACACGACCGGCTAAAAGTCCTGATTTGAACACCATAGAGAACGTTTGGGGGATTCTAGCTCGTTGAGTTTATGCTGAAGGTCGACAATATGAAACACCAGCCGAGTTAAAGCAAAGAATCGTAAAATGCTGGGATGAAATCTCGCAAGACATCCAGACGCTGGCGAAGAGTATGCCAACTCGGATTGTACTGGTTGGTTTTACACTGCAGAGCCCCGATCGACTATTAAGTGCCGAAATGTTTGGTGCGTCTATAGTTTTGCATCAGCTGCATAAGTGTGTTATTGACATAGTTCAAAATCCATTTTGCTTTTTGCAATCTGCTGTCGTCTATTAGTTCCTAGTAATTTTAGATGACATCAAATACTTCCGTTTGATTGAAAACGACTTTAGTTGCTCACCATGAATCAACATCAGTGTGCGTCTATAATTTTGCACCAGACTGTATGTGTAACGGGATAAGACAACCCGTTACCAAGCACACACTGTAGTGGAAGGAAGCAGGTATATTAAACTGGTTGATTGACGTGACGGAACCGAGGCCGTCACAGCCATTAACTCTAGTCTTGGGATCTGATTGGCCACTGCGTGTGCACGGTGGCAAACGTGTGACAGAGCCCTGTCACAGTGTGTATAGCCACACAGTATCCTAGCAAGCACACGTTGGGCATTTGTAGTGCTACATCGTATGAAATAGATAAAAGTAATGTTGCTAAAGAAAATTATTATTCTTATCGATGCTGCCTTCACTTCGCTTGGCAGCATCTCCGTGTGTACAATGTGCACCACAAAAAGGTTTGGGCCACATAATCCAATTTTAGCCAATCGCAGCTCCCCTCGGTAGCCACTGAAGCAAAACGGACTGTGTGAAACTGCAACGGGGTACATAGCCCAAGTGTACCCAAG